TCGGGTTCGTACGTAGATCTGCAACGGAAATCACGGATAAAAGGATTCGCCGTGCATTGTATTTGGCAGTTGTGCGACCAGCGCTGGGCTACGCCACTCAAGTGTGGTCGCCGCAGTCGGTGGAGCTCATCAACCGAGTGGAACGTGTTCAACGCCGAGCTTCAAAGTTTATTCTAGGCCTCCCATTCATGTGTGACGTATCCTATAAAGACAGACTCATTTCGACAGAACTTCTTCCCCTCTCATTTTGGCATGAATATTTAGACTTAATGTTTTTCTTCAAAGCTATTACTGGCATTGTATCGATATCTCAAAATTCCTTACCTGAACGTATTGCTCCTGTAAGGGTCACAAGATCATCTGCTAATGTCAACGCAATCTCATTCCGTCAACGAAAACATAAAACAACAACTTATAATCGATCATTCTTTCTTCGTACAACTAGAACTTGGAACTCTCTCCCGGAGCATTTAAGGCTTATTAATCTATCTTTTATTCAATTTAAGAAAGGAATATTAGCATACTACTTGACTGCATTACGATCCTGCTACAACGTTGACGATCCACGGACTTGGAAGACTGTCTGTGTCAAATGTAACAAAAGCAGAAGTCTCATCCGACCATTAACTTGCTGTTACTAGAGGGGCGTTTGCACATTGCGATTTGTCCTGTGCGATTCGGATTTTGGTGTATAATTCATTTGATGCCTGAATTGAAGCGAAACTTTAATTGCACAATTGACGCGTGCCTACTCGATTGGATTCGCCAAAATACGAGTCGCACACGGCGGATCGCGGTGTGTAAACGTACCTTAAGTAAACTAAGTATAATTACTTAGGTGATTATTGAAAATTTTCCAAGCTGATTCGTTGCCGTTGAGGTGATTATAACGTGATAATCACCTAAGTTTTGACTATTAAATGACGAAGAAATGTGTATTTTTATTTTTTTCCCAACTAATCACCTATGAAATTATACTAAAACAATTATTCGCCTTAGGCTCGGTGGTTATTGTTAAATGAAAACTTCGACTTTGTCTCTGTCCCTACTTACCGATAATCACCTAGCCTTCGGCAATAAATTGTTAATTATTTCTGTTTTCTATAATTATATTGATATTTTGTAAAGGGCCCACTGTAATTGGTGTTAAGCTGTCGTGGTGTCCCAGCTTCTTTAATGCATTCATTGTATAATGTTTGGAAGCGAAGCACAATAAATAAATAAATAAATAAAATTTGGATAAACGACCTCCGAAGGAGTGAGATCTTATACTGTCAACAAGTCAGGTGAGATTCTTTTCATTTCTTGATCATTTTTCGGTAGTGTTTTGTGAAATTTCGTACCTTAGACAACAGATGCATATAGGACTATTGCTAACTGACACTAAAAATATGTTTGGGATGCGTACAACCAGAGTTTTTATTTACTGTACAGAGTACAAACATTATACTAATACAAACAATATTCAAATTATAGAAATATTATTTTGTTGGGCTAGTACCAAAATGTTTCCTTATACACAAAGATAGTAAAAGCATTTAGACCTGAAGTATATCTTTGAGACCAAACACTATACTGTTAACTGAAATTTTGAGGATTTGAATTTATTGAATTGAGTCAGGTACCAATATGCTTAACTGATAAATAACAATATCAGTGTCCAGGTAGTGTACTAAAAACTACTAAACCAATGACTTGCATTTATAGTCAGTAAGCATTATTTTGTATATAGACATTATTTGTTTGACCATTAACGGTCCCTGCTTATAATAAATACAACCTCACACTGGTTGTCTCTGTATGTGCAGCTGTGTTTCCAATTGTATTTCTGTAAAATACACCCAATAAATAATCAAATTATTCTCTTTTTAGTTGAATGATAGACTTTCCATGTTAAAAGAACTACAAATCTGCTCTTTGACTATCTGGGTAAAATGCAATGACAATGGATTGTTGATCAACAATGTTTTGTGGAATGCTTAGCTATCCAATTTGAAAAATGCTGTCAAATATTCTATACATTTTGATGTTCTGAGTTTGATTATTTTATTGTATATTCCACATTGACTTAACCCTTACTGTATTAGGGTATACAAAACTTATAGTATTGTTAAATGTAAACATGTGCACCTCTTCAAACATAATGTGAGTTGTGTTAGCTAATGCAGAGTTGTGTTAGATACTGCTTTCTCTGATTGCACTCAAGCTGCCAAGAAATAGCAATTATTTTTGTTACCGAAGAAAATGGTATCAAAGCATATCCCTCATTATATTAAAATGCTACTGGATAACTGATCCCATAACAGTAATTAAATATTATTGTAATTATTAAACATTTTGTTTGTATATGTGAGTTAATAGCTTGTTTGGACTATTGCACATGGTGAGTTATTGCTTATTTGGACTATTGCACTCTAGCTTTGAAACAGTGCCTAATACACTTGTCATCGGAAACACGCACCCCTCCACCCCAGGGGAAACATGGGCATAAATAGACTTTTTTAGAAACTAATGAAAGAAAAAGCCACACACATAGGGGCAAGCAAAACAGGCCAAAGCCACTTCTAGAATAACACATTTAGTAAAAGTTTCAAACATGGAATATTTAAAGTAGAATGATGAATAACTTTAAACATAGAACACTAACATGGCTTCTTGTGCAAAAACATCAGTCGTCCATTCGACAATAGGCTACCCATAGGATTATGGGCAGCCCACATGTAATCATGCCTAATCTTGTCCTCAAACTACATCTCTCAACTCCCACCCACCCATGTTTTCCCGGGGTGGGTGTGTGAGTGATGGTGGTGGTGGTGGGGGGGGGGGGGGGGGTTCCGATGACAAGTGCATAATACATATAGCAGATTTATGACAGACAAGGTGCTTGCTACAAAGACGATTTCTTGAATTTAAGAGTCCAAATAAGTAATAACACAACATGCACATTCAAAGTTGAAGGTTTTGAAAGGAAATTAAATTACTGGCATGTATTTCATCATATTTTGTGTCTTTTGTGAATATTCGTTTAATGGTTTGGTTTAAAGACATAGTAAAAGTTGTGTACAGTAGTGAATGATCAATACTAAAATACACAAATTTAGTTTTTCAAAGGCAAAAACGTAATTCATTCCAATTTATCTCGTTTTATACATGTAATTCCTAATATTTTTTGATAATTTCAATGTATATATTAGTTTTTAAAACATTTTACATTATAATAAATGATTTTGACCTTGATTTCAACAATTGTCAAATATAAACTTTTTTTGCACAATTTTTTTTCTTTTTATAAAAAGTATAAATTATCCAAATTAAAAAATATCCAAGCAAATTAAAAAGACATCCAAGCAACGCATACAAATAGCACTTGACATTATAATAACCTAAAATCATCAAGACATTAGAAATACTTTAAAATTACTGCACGATTCAGTTTCAGACTGTGGAGTAAAATAGAACGATGAAACTCTGCAGTAAATTGTCTTTGTATATATATAAAAACTCTAGTTATACGCATCCCAAACATGTTTTTAGTGTCAGTTAGCAATACTCCTATATGCATCTGTTGTCTAAGATACGAAATTTCACAAAACACTATCGAAAAACGAAAAGAATCTCACCTGACTTGTTGACAGCATAAGATCTCACTCCTTTGGAGGTCATTTATCCAAATTTTCGTTCATTTTAAACATATTCGTGTAATAAACTACTGTTCAACAGACGCAGCTTGACATATTCTTTCAAATTTTGTCCTCAAAATAAAGATCGGACGGCAGATGTTTTTAAAATCGCTGTTTTATTGCGAAAATTCGACATTTCTCCATTAACTTCAATACAAAAATTTAGTTCGGCGCTTACCAGACTCTCACGCATGCGCAGTGAAAAAGTGGGGACAGAATTTTCCGCGAGTCGGCCATCTTTATATACTTAATCTTTGTTGTGGAGAAGTCTCGTAGTCCTCACGACGACTTTTCAAAAAGCAAAGTTGGAAGTTGGCTTTTTTTTTTGTTTTTCAAAAATAATTTGTAGCGTTTATCCGGGAAAAATAATCTTTTAGTACTAAATATCTGGCTTGTTTTTAATGTTATGACTTATTTGCACATTTTGTAGTGGATTTTAGCCTGCAGGAGATTTAGTTTATAGAAACTTTTCTTTCGTTTGTTTACTACTATAAAAGCAACATTTGAACGGAAACGAGAACGACCACGGTGATTTCCTCGCACGCGATCAAATCTCGTACTCGTAGTCGTACTCGTTGCTAAATCCCCCTATTTCCTCAGATAAGGGAACCAATCAGAATGCTAAAAGGCCTTTTTCAATACTGAAATTACACTAACACGTTTTATTTCAAGCATCGACCATTAACATTCACTCACAAAATACTGAGCGCTACAGTAAAATTCCTCCAATAAAAAAATTTACTCTACATCTGAATCGTCCGATTCAACGTCATTGTAGACATCATCACAATCTGCAGCTTCTGCAGATTGTTGGTTTTCACACTCAGTGCAACCACGAATCTCGGTGCAGGACAAATCTTCTTTTTTGCATTTACACCTTTTATTCTTGCAACCCGTTTTGCAATTGCAGCTGGAACTTTCAATAATGTTGTCCATCGCAGGTAAACAGAACAACCAATGAACTCTTACCTCACCATCATCCACTTGCCAACCATCAAAACCATGGTTGCAAAAGTCGGGGGCGTCGATATTTGGGCTTATATATACATCTGCGCCAAATGTATGATACGTAATTGGCACGACTTTATATGCAATAGAAGTGCGTCTTTATTTGGAGGTAAACAGTCCTCGCCAAAGTTTCCCTTCGTAAACAAGCTGTAGCGCGCGTCATTTACGGTTGTTGCTGTCTGATCGCCAAACAGACGGCAAGTAAAAACGTTGAGCTTGTTTACTACAGTTTCTTCACATACCACTTCTGAGGTTCCCAAGTCAGAAAATGCTGAAAGAAACTGTTCATTTGCTCGAACTGACTTGAGAGCCTTTGCCTTGTCTTTACCATAAAACGAGCTGGTGTAATCACAACCTATACAAGAATGTAACATTTACTTAACTTATGTCTTTATTCCTAGAAAAAGTTTAATTTTATATGACATCTGTGAATGCATGAAATCCGGGCAGAGCAGAACAAAGTTCTGGGCTAACCTCTCTCGATATTGTGTCAAGCAAAATTATCCTGTTGCGATCTCCAACTGGCCGTATGGCAGTATTCACATACAAAGATGTTTCGGGTCAGACCAGCTTCGTAATGCTAGAATGAACACATCATGCAGTGTCTGGAGACTTGACGAGAACGGTTTGGCAGCCCGACTTGGGGCATGAGCTGCATGTAGCGTCAGTCTTGTGTCCGCCTCTTCATGATCGCACGAGAGCTGGTCGACTTGCTCCTGGATGACACGACCATCAACAGACAACAACTTTGTGCTCTCTTTCCCTCGTGTTACGTACAGCTGGATCTCTCCCAACAGGCAGCCATTCATCTTTGACCAAGACTCCAACAAGAAAGGCGCACACTAGAGCTATGTGCTTAGCAAAATGTCATTCGTGACTGTTGGCGTAAGGAGATAGCTCTCGTGTGCGGGCGATTTACGAACGACTTTTGTCATTCGTGCCACTTACGCCAAATATCTAACATGTTTGATAATTTCTGCCTCGCGTGCCAAAATCTTTCCGTGTGCGGCGAACGAAAGCTATCTGCTTACGGATTGTCGTAACAGCGCATGCGTAGTATACGAAAGTAAACATCCAAGATGGCGGCGCAAAATGAATTGCTGGCCGAGGCAATTTTAGAGGACAAACTTGTCGAACTTTGGCCTGAATACAAATGTTTATACGATGTGAGTTCTGCAGATTTTAGAAATAGGGACAAAAGGGAATGTGCGGTGAAAGAAATAGCCAGTAAGTTTGTCCTCTAAAATTGCCTCGGCCAGCAATTCATTTTGCGCCGCCATCTTGGATGTTTACTTTCGTATACTACGCATGCGCTGTTACGACAATCCGTAAGCAGATAGCTTTCGTTCGCCGCACACGGAAAGATTTTGGCACACGAGGCAGAAATTATCAAACATGTTAGATATTTGGCGTAAGTGGCACGAATGACAAAAGTCGTTCGTAAATCGCCCGCACACGAAAGCTATCTCCTTACGCCAACAGTCACGAATGACATTTTGCTAAGCACATAGCTCTAGTGTGCGCCGGTCTTAAGAGACTCTTTTTATTTCCGCCACTTGAATTTCAATAAAGTTCTTCCATGGTTTAAACACTTTCTGCTCGCGTCCGTAAATACGTACGATACTTGTGCCGTGTGATGCTCGTTTTTCTGGTTCTGCATTCTTTATACTGAGCTGCGGTAACGGTCGGCTACGAAGTCAACACGGGATGCTTTGAACTTGCGTGCGATAGCAAGTATTCTTGCAAGGATATTATCAGCAAGCTCTCCGTATGTCTTCGGAATAACAACAGTTGACTGTAAAACTGCCATAGCATCGAGTAAAACACTACCGTCAGCTGGAACTGCATCTACAGTACGTCTACCACGCAATCTGGAAACTCCGACTCGAATAAATGAAGAAGCTTGGACTTTGTTGTTTTTCAAAACAATACGAAAGCAGCTAAAGGAGCTAACCTTGTCAGTGTAGAAGATTTCTTCCTTTTTACAAACGATGCAAACTCGTGGCAGTATTCCAGCACATTTAGTCCTTTGTCGACTGCCGCTAGACGAAGTGCCTGCTTCACTATCGCCGTAGACAGTCGGACTCCTCATTGATAGTCGGACGCATCATTGATCCGCGTCCAGTCCTCCGCGCGTTATCGATCGATCCGTTTGTACCCTGCGTAACCCACTGGTACACCATATATCCATCACTCCACGTTGTTCTTCTTCGACCACGTGTAGAAAGATGAACGATTTGCTTCGCGATGCCATAGCAAATCTGCAGACTTATTTTTCTGGTTCCAAAAATACTCAAGAACTGTTATTGCGATTAAAACTATATATCATCCCAATTGAAGAGAGGAAGTATTGCAGAATACTGCCCACTAGTAATATCATATATTTCACTGGATACTAATATACTATATACCAGATCTTATTGCCTCGTTCTAATATACACAAACTAATTACTAAGACAATATTACGAATTGATACTATAAAGGAAATATCATGCAAGACTTTTAATGTTTGATACAATGCTTAGTATGCTAAATGTATGTAAAATTATTTATTCCTGCGACGCTAATTAATCATAATCTGTCAAACACCAATGTCCGGTTGTGAGGAACATTACACCGTTACACAGTTAAACCATGCACATCAGCGGCGGCGGAACAGATTTCGTTCTGGGGGGGCTAACTTTTTTCGGCGACCTCCCCCCACCAACCCCCCCCCAGTCCCCCAAAAAATTTCGGTCAGTGTACCTCTTTAGGGGTACAATATACAAAAAAAGGGACGAAAAAAATTTTTTCGGACTTATATCAAAAACATTTTTCGGAAATACACTTTTTTTAAACAAAATATTGCAAATTTGTCCCCTTATACCTAAATTTTCAAAAAATAAACTAAATTTTTCCCTAATTATCAAAATTTTTTCCAAAAATTCAAATTTTCTGGGGGGGCTAAGCCCCCCCACTTTTACTTCTGGGGGGGCTTTAGCCCCCCTAGCCCCCCCTGTTCCGCCGCCCCTGATGCACATGACGAAAATCAGACGTCAGCATGAGAGAACCTGCGTATCCACGTATCCACTGCACTAAAATATAGACTATAGAGCAACCTATCACAATTTGATCTATAACTAACTGCATGCCTCGTTTTCAAAATAACGCATGACAATTTGATATATTAATGCTAGTCTAACTGTATATGCCTCGTTCTCCAAATAACGACTTGACTTCGTATCCGCGTATCCACGAAAATATAGAGCTACCTTTAACACGTGCACTATGACAATTTAATATATTAATGCTAAGTCACTGTATGCCTCGTAGCTACCGTTACCAATCTATTTATTATTAATCTATTGAGAATAAATATAGATGTATTAATACATCGTACACATGTTTGAAAGCCATGGCTTAAAATATGGACGGGTATACTGCAATCGCTGTGGACGATATTGCAATGTTTGTTCAGAATTATGGAATCAAAAACAATGAAACTTGCAGAGTTACAAAAGCAAAGAAAAGAGTTACAAAAAAGAGTTACAAAAGCAAAGAAAAGAGTTAAAAAAAGAGTTACAAAAGCAAAGAAAATCATGTGGGAATGGCGAATATAACTTAATAAAATATGTCAGATGTCATCACCACACAAGATATGAAGCCACAATGTGTCCTGCTCAGATTTTGGCATCTGGGAAGCGCATGTAATAAGAAGAGTATCCGCTGAATGTTTCGTTTAAGGGCGCGGGTCAATGATGCGTCCGATTATCAATGAGGAGTCCGACTGTCTACGGAAAAAAAAATTGCATCGCCGCTGAGTTCCGTCTAGATTTTCTTGGTAGTTGATGTTGTTCTGCAATCCTACTTTGATCGTTATCGCTAAGGTTGGACACCCGTTTTACCGCCTGTTCTATGAATCGCTTATTTGTTAACTTTTGATAGCATTTACCATGGTAGAGCAAGTCCGTTCGCACGTCTGCTTCATCGCTATCAAACAACTGCTTGCCTTCTTCCTCGGTTATAATCTCGAAACAGGTTTTAACAGAGGTTTTTTAGCGCTTGGTGGTATAAAACCACAAGCATTTACCCAAAAATCAAATGATAAAATAAAGCCGAGTTTCAGGGGCCAAAATTTCAATTGGCAGCTCTCAGCCACCATAGCCCAGTCTTAACCAAGAATTGTTAACTAAATTTTGTGTATAACAGTTTCTGAAGGCGTTCGAAAATAATGCTGACGTCAGCACTTTTATTTTCCAAGACACTGTAACTCCGGAGGAATTCACCCTATTGATTCAAACATTTTGGTGAGCACTCGTAATAATGATATAAACAACAAATAAAACGTCCAGTATTGTAACTGGAATTCCTGGAAATTGGACGGAAACCTGCATAAGGCAACACCGCGGAAAAACGTCTGCGCATGCACCAAATTATGAAAATATGGCGGGAAATTTGAATATCAATTTCTAAAACAAAAACATGCTTATTAATTGGTCAAAAATTAGTAAAACAAACGAGAAAATATAGCAAATGGGTAGACTAGACATTAATTGAAAGCGTCCTGTCATTTAAAGTATGGAATGAAATATAATTCATGTAAAAAATTGTTGATTTTAACGGACACGACTTCGAAAATTTTTGCAAAATTATTCAAAACAAAAATTCAAACTAAAAAGTTAAGAAAACTCTCGAAAAGTTAAGCTTCTTAACCCACTCAAATTGTAGAATAAATCCTAAAGTTTAATTGTTGTGAACACGAAAATTTTTTATATTTAGCGACACAGTTTTTTTTAAAGAAATGTATCTCAAACGAAAATTCGGAAATTGTCGTTGCTTAGTTGATAAACAAAATGTTTCAGACGATAAATTTGTCAACAATCACCTTTAGTTCATGTTCTTGTACAATACAATTTCTTGAACCTTCTGGCTGTATTTATTCCTAGTTTTTAGAATGACATGTTTATTTTCGCGCTCGAAATCTGGCTGTAAAGACGCACAATGAAGTCACTCCTTTTTACCGCCATTTTGAGCCTTCGGAAACGTTCGGAACAGCTTCTCATCAAGTTCACAATACTATTACAGGTAAGGTTGACGCATGCGCAGACGTTTTTCCGCGGTGTTGCATAAGGCCATTAAAATATCTTCGTTTAAAAATGCGCTAAAATGAATAAAACATTCGCTCACATTGTCCAACATCGTTGTGCTCGCATTGTCCACCATCGTTCATTGTGACCTTGTAATTTGACATTAGTGTGAGACACATATGATGATATGAACCAATGGGAAGCCACAAAACAATAATCTCGAGGTTCGAGATATGTGCGTGGGATTACACGCAACTAAAAAAATGCTTAATTAAAAATATTATGAAACACGAGGAATTAAAGTTACGTTTTCTTTAAAACTGCAGGAGGAATTGATGACAACATTTTATACTTGGATTATGTAGACAAAAAGCTATTATTTAAGATACTAAAATCGTAGTCTCCGCAGGGGTGCAACGAAAAGTCAAAATTATTACGCGAGTGGCGGACGGCCTTATGAAAAAGTCGACTTAGAAAATGGGCATTAGAATAAACAGTTTGCCCTGTATTTTGCTATAGTTTTAATATTATTTTTAGGTTTTCAAAGTATTTAACAATCTCGTACCCAGAGCAATGCCTGCATGTGCGCGGGCTAAGATGGCATTGGCTCTGGGGAAATTGACAACCGGAACCCCTAAATTTAGGGGTTCCGGTTCTTTGTCGGCATGCACGATTGATAAACGTTAAACCAATCACAGCACAGGAAAAATTCAATTTCCCCAGAGCCAATGCCATCCTAGCCCGCGCACAGGCATTGCTCTGGGTACGAGATTGAGTATTTAAAAAACAGATAAATATAGCAATCAGATTTTTCCATGACCCTCATTTCTAAGCGTAAATTTTGTATTAATTTTAAACACAATTTTCGCTCGTTCAAAACTCTATAAACACGAATTTTGTCTTGCTACAGGTTGTGCCAACAAAATATCGCTGTTTCATATTAAGAGTGAATGTCAGTAAAAATCGAACATATGAGATATTTCGCGGCCACGACTGAAAAATCGATTTTGCTCAAATTTTGCCCAGATATACCTTATTATATCGGAAAATGCACCATATATTTTTTTAGGTCAAATGCTTTTTTAACTTTGAGAAAATGCCGTTTTAACACGACCACCCTAAATCGCCATTTTGTCTGGGAAAATATGCGCTGATTTTATCGACAAATTTCACGACGACAACCGTTTCTAATCGATCTAAAACCCTAAAAATCTTGTTTCCGGTTATTCAAAGGACCGGGTATGTGAGTTACAGGAAATCTGAGTTACTTTTAGGAATAGAAATAATCGTAGTTTTGGAGCACACTATCTTACATCATTTACGATACCCTCTTCACAAAACCGATTTTCACCATGCGATAAAGCTCCAAATCGATCATGCTTCTACTTGTTGGCTCCTTAATAAACAAGCTTTCAATTGACGTAAATACTTCTTTTGGCAAATGAATACGCGATAAACGACAGCGCGTTGAAATCGTCCGTTTTTGACGTTTTGCAAGTCAAACGCTGTTAATTTACATACCGTCGAAGTAAACAATTTAATCAAGTATTCTAAGTATTTTACCTTTTGAGAAGAAGATATATCCTTGACTGGAGACTTTTTGCCTTGCTAAGTTTAAAATTGGTCCAAAAATCCCGATATATTTGTAAAATATCATCATATGCAAGTATTTTGAGATATAATATTGTTGTCAGTTGCATGATAACTTCAGATCACTGTTCAATATTGTCTACTTTTTACAGTAATAGCGCTAACATACAAATCGATGAGCTGTTTAGGGTTTATATAATTTATATATAAATTTATATATAAATTTCC